CAAGTGGCTGTGAAAATTAATATTCTTCTTCTTGGGCGTATTCGGCCCCGCCTCCTGGGATTGCCGTTCCCGAGGCGGTCGTCCTCTTCTTGCTTGCTGGGGCCTCCACCGTTTTCTTGATGTCCGCAAGGGCCGCTTTGATCCTGCCTTGGCCTTCTTCCACGGCCTTGCGGTGTTCTTCCACTTCTTCCCTCCAGGCCAGCAGGCGGGCCTTTGCTTCATCCTCGTAATCGTCAATGTCGGCGAACAAGCTTTCGTCCACCGTGACCAAACCGTGTGTCCTTCTGCAACCTGCGGCCCACCTCTGGACTCAGGACGCCTGAGCGCGCGGTAGTCAGCATAGACTGCCTCTTTGTCCTGCTCTGCCAAGAAGACGACCCTGGACTGCACCGTGACCTCCTCTTCGCAGTCGGCCAAATACTCCTCGGCATGCCTCCTCTTTTCAGGGAAGCGTTGGAGCTTCTTGGTTTGTTGCTCGCACTCCGTGTCCGACCGTAGCATACGCTGCCTTGCCGCCTGCGGGTTGCTGTTGTTCTTTTCTCGCAACAGCTTCTCGTGATTCTCGAGCTCCTGCTGCAAAACCTTGGCCGCAGGGCCAGACCTGAGCGCATACGGCAGCTGGTCGAGGAGGGATTTCGGCGAGGGCATCGCCTGGCCCATGGACTGCAGATTGTCCTTGGCCCACGGTGGCTGCCCTCCCCCTCCTTGAGACTGCTCCCCGCGAGCGTCTCCAGTCCCAGCCTTGAAGACGTCGAGCGGCGCTTTGCAGAAGACGCACGAGCAGTTATTTTGGATGATCTGCCAATTTCAACTCAATTTTCCACATGGGCACCACGCGAAGAGCTGCTGCTCATTCTTCTTCCCCATCTGTACGGACTTCGGTCCGAGAAACCGTGAAAGCGTCCAGCAGCCGTGGTGGCCACTGGATCCAGACCTGGGCGGACAGGCCGAAAAGCTGAAAGCGCGCTCGGACTAGAGCGATCCTTTCTGCCTGGAGGCTGAACAGCCCCCCAGGAAATCATCTTGAGCCAAAATGGCTACGGAGGAGGAGGAGGAGGAGGAGGAGTGGAGGAGGAGGAGGAGGAGGCGAAGCAGGAGGGGGAGAACCAGGAGGAGGAGAACAGGAGGAGGAAGAGGAGGGAGACGGCTACCCGCTGACGCCTCCGCTCCTTCTTGAGAGGAAGGTTCTCCGACTCCTCCCTGAAAGATCGAGATTCGGAGATTTTGGTTAGGACGCAACTCCTGGGAGGTCTCCGCGGGAACGATCAAAGCAAATTGGCCGATTTAGCCCAGATCAAGCCCAATATTAAGCCAGACTAAGCCTGATGAAGCGGGGTCGGGCTGGGGGAAGCCAAATTCAACCACAAGATCAAACTATACCCAAATGTCAAAATATGTGTTCGGACACTCGGGTCCCGTTTCTTGACTCTGGGCGGACAAAGGAAGATCGGGGACTGCGAGAATCCAGCGCGCCCTCTTCGGTCCGACGGCACACAGTGCGCGTGCACCGGCCTGCTAGCTGCGTCAGCGGAACAAGATGGTAAAGTCAAGACCCCGCAAACGAACTTGAAAGCTTCCTCGAGCGCCACTTCTTCAACCGTGAACGAAAAAATTAGCCATATACGCTAAGTACAAGCGTGTCCCCCTTCCATGTCTCCAAACCTCTGCCTCCCCTCGATTCTGGAAACGGCGGGGCCGTATGTTCAGCGTTTCCGAACAAGTGCCTCTTGAACATGGAAGCGAAATAAAAAAAACGGCAACTGGAAACGGCAACAACGACGTCTCTGGAAGTGGAACCAAGCCCGAACCGGAAAAACAACGGCGACGGAACTGGCAACGAAAACAATGACGGAACTGGCAAACTCGAAGATCTTCTAACCCGTGTCAATCCAGACCCGGGAGAGTCTGACCTTGCAGCATCCCGCAAGGTCCTGAAAGCTCTTACAGGATCCTGAACCCAAACCCGGGTCAAAGCGCCCCTGGCCCTGCAGGATCATGCAAACCCGGCAATCTGGCTGACCCCCGCTTGCATTGATCCTAATCCCTTGATCCCCGACAAAAAAACGTCAAAACGGAGCCGGTAAGGAAGCGCCCCTGTCGCTTCCAGAGCCCACTAGAAGTGCCTGCATTATCGACCTCATTCCTCCCTCCCGCCCTCACTTCTCCCCACCACCCTGACATCGGTAACGGTAACATCGATGTCGGGGGATCCCCCTGAAACCAGGCTTGTCCTCCTTCTCCTCCTCCTCCTCCTCCTCCTCCTCTTCCTCCTCCTCCTCTTTCTCAATCCCCTCCTCCTCCTCCTCCTCCTTCTCCTCCTCCTGCTCCTCCTCCTCCTCCTTCTCCTCCTCCTCCTGCTCCTCCTCCTCCTCCATCCCTTCCTCCCCCTCCTCTTCCTCCTCCTCTTCCTCCTCCTCCTTCTCAAGCCCTTCCTCCTCCTCCTCCTCCTCCATATCCTCTCACGCTTCAAAGACTTCCTGGACCGCGGCCCCCGGATGCCCATAAAGCTCATCCGCGATCCCCGGGGGCACGACTGGAGCCCCTCGGCCGTCTGCTCCTCGGCCGTCTGCTCGCCGCATGCACCCCGCCCCTGGCCCCCGACGTGCGACGCCTGTTGCGCTGGCCGTGGCCACGGCGCGAGCCCCTGGGGCTCTCGGCCCTCGATCTCTCCACCCCCCCAGAGACCGTGCTTCAGGGCTCGAGCTAAACATCTCGGCCCTCGATTCCCCCCCCCCAGGAGACCGTGCTTCAGGCCTCGAGCTGAACAGTGTTCTTGTCCGTGCTCGGTCTGTGTTCGTCTTCCCGCGCTCTGCCGTCGTTCCGCCTCTGCTGCAGGACGAGCTCCAAAAGGGACACGGCCCACCAAGTCGCCCAGGAGACGCCGTGGAGCTCGGGCCCTGCCGTGCTCGTGGGATCGCGCAGGGCGCAGCTCTCGGGCGGCCCCCTGGGCCCCAAGAGGGCACACCGACGCCCCTGGCGTGGGGCGCGGCCCGGCCGGAGCTCCGAGGCGGATCCGGGCGCGGCCACGGGGGGCGCCAAGTGGCGTGCGCTGCCTCGGGGACCGCGGCAGGCGGGCCGCACGACGAGGAGGAGCAGCAAGGGAGACAGTCGGCCCGTATCGCAAGGATGCGCGAGAAGGGCCCTGGACGCCCAGCCCGAACTCTTTTCGAGCGGGACGCGGCCAACGACGAAAGAGGCCAAGGATGGAAAGGGGGCAAGGATGCGGGGGCACCCCTGGGGAGGTTGCCCATCCTTGCTGCGCGGGTTGACCGTATGTCGACCCCCATCCCGGGCCTCGTGGGGTTCTCGAAGGGACCAGGAGTCTGGGGTCCAGCCCTGGGATGTGCACCCTGCGAAATGCTTAAGAAATCATGGGTTAAGAAATCCAGAGTCTCAGAACTTGAATAAAAACCCAACATTTCTATTAAAATCTTAGGGTTTTCATCGAAGCATTAAGAATAATCGAGACTCTGGCCGAAAACTTAAGTTTTCTCAAGCATCGCGTAAGGTGTACGATTGGGGGGGGCGCCCATCCTCGACGAGGGGTGCGGCCGAACAGCCCCCTGAGGGCGTATCCCGGGAATCTCCCCCTCTCTCTGAGCGGTCAAACGCTTCGGGCGGAGCTTGGGGGATGGGGGAAGAAGCATCGCCTGCGAAGGGAGGGCGAGGAGGGGGGGGGGGGGGGGGGAATTTTGCTCCAGCAGCAGCCGCTGCTCCACCGCTGCCGAGAGGATCGCGACGAGGGGAGGAGCGCAGCGTTCTTCTCCCATTGGCTCGGCTGTGGGTGAGGGCCCTCGAGGAAATCGCAGGAGGAGCAGGAGGAGGAAGAGGGAAAACCACCCGCATTCCCGCCCACAGGAAGCCCAGGAGATGGCACACTAGAGCCCAAGGAGGCCACCCAAACAAACAGACCAAACTCGATCCTCGAACCTGGACCCTCCCAGATCTTCGATGCCTTGATTGCTTTGATGCGCTGTCCCTGGAATTCCCGATACATTCCTAGGGGGCATTTTTTCAAGCAGCCTCATCTCTATCAAGGAGGTGTGGTGACAGAAACTGTACCCGAAAATCCGCCCGAGTGTGACCGAATCCAGAGCCCGAATTTGTCAGAATGCGCATGGTTGTTTCCGAAACCATTGATTATGTGATACCTTCGACCACTTTTTCTGATACATTACGCGTTCGGCCACTTCCTCGGTCATTAACCAGTTTGGCTTACAGGTGTCGGGCGCCATGATCTTTTCGTCCTGGACAATTTGGGGTGGCCCCCGATCCCGAACGCAACCTCCGTGTGAATGCACAAGGCCCTTTCTAACATTACACCGCAATGAGGTTCTGACTTTTCCGTGGCGATAACGAAGGAGGTCCTCCTCCTCCTCCTCCTTCTCCTCCTCCACGGGTCAACCTCTCTGGCGGTCTCTTGGGGTGCTTCACGACCAGAAGCTCGAGTGGCAGTCCGGCCCCGTGGCTGCGAGAAGCCTCTGGGCAGCCCCAGAAGCGTCCGAAGACTGGATCCTAGAACCTCGATCCTCGAGGGAGGGGGATCTTCGCCCCTCGATCTCCGCCTGCCGACGCGCCAGCCGGCCCGAGGCCACGCCCAGGGTGAGCCGCGCCAGCCGCGCGCGGCCCGACCGCGGGCAGCGCTCGCTCCCGCCTCCTTCGAAGGGGCAGACGAGAACCAGCACCAGAGTCCAAACTGTTGGAGGTCCTCGCGGGTCTCTCGGATCGGCGCCCCCCTCCCCGGCGCGCGTCGCGCGACAGGGGCGGCGCTGGAGGCGCCGCCAGCGGGGGTCCAGCGCCGGGGGGGCCGTCAGCAGACGACTCGGGATGAGAGGGGTCCTGGGGAGTAGCCCCAGCGTCCAGGCCACCCCCCTCCTCCTCCCTATCGTCCTGCTCCTCCTCCTCCTCCTTATCGTCCTCCTCCTCCTCCTCCTCCTCCTCCTCCTCCTCCTCCTCCTCCTCCTCCTCCTTCTCGCCGAAGCAAGGACCCCCCGCCCCACCGCCGCCGCCGCCAGCGCAGCTGCGGCGTCGTCCGGTGGCTTCCCGGCGACCATGGCGAAGCCTCGCGCGGCGCCGCCCCGACCCCCGCCATCACCCGCCCAGGCCGCCTGCCCACTGGGACCAGCGCCGAGCCGAGCCCCTGCCGCAGTGGCCCCCTCCGTGGCGACTCGCCCGGCCGCCTCGCCTCGCCGCGTCTTGGATCGAAGAGAACTAGGTCGCCACGGAAGCAGCGTGCCAGGGGCGGGGTCAGGTCGCCCCCGACCCCGCCCTCTTTAAACCGGCCCCCTCGCGGTGCGCGTCCCAGGCTGCCGAGGCAGGTCCGGGCACGGCGGGCGAGGGTGCCCCCCTCGGAGGCACTCACAAAAGTGCAAAGGAGTTTCAACCCTCCTCTCGTGCTCTCCTCCCTCTCCTCCTCCTCCTCCTCCTCCTCCTCCTCCTCCTCCTCCTCCTCCTCCTCCTCCTCCACCTCCACCTCCTCGTCCTCCTCCTCCTCCTCCTCCTCCTCTCCTCGCGTGGCCGGCCTCCTCCTTCTCCTCCTCCTCCACGTCCTCTTCGCCCTCTCTTCCTCCTCATCACCATAATCACCACCATGAGCATCATCATCATTATCACCACCACCACCACACCCATCGGCATAAACATCAACATCAGCATCAGCATCATCGCTGGCATCGTCATCGGTATCATCATCATCACCACCATCATCATGATTCACCAGTTACTACTCATCCTAACCGTCGACATCCACATCATCATTCTCGCCATCATCATCAGCAGCATCATAATCAGCATCATCATAGCCTCACTCCATCTTCATCATCATCCTGGACATATAACCATTCGAGGCGGTGCCCTCCATATATGAAGGGGCCCCAGTCTCTCTCTCTCTCTTTTTCTGTCTCTCTCTCTCTCTCTCCCTCTCTCTCTATCTCTTTTTTCTTTCTTACTCAGCATCCTCATCTTCCACACCATCAAACAACCCATCCTCTTCACCATCATGCTCTTAATCCTCCTCATCCCGTTCTCCTCCTCATCATCATCCTCACTATCATCATCATCATCCTCATCATCATCAGCGACGTCATCATCATTATCATCCGCATCATCATCAGCATCGTCATCGTCATCGTCATCGTCATCATCATCATCATCATCATCATCATCATCATCATCATCATCATCCCCCATCATCATCCGTATCTGCATCCGCATCCGCATCCGCATCCGCATCCTGACCCAATTTCTCCTCATCCTCATGCATATCACCATCATCAGCATCCTCATCCTTATCATCGTCATCAGCATTACCATCTCACCACCACCACCATCATCATCAGCAACATCATCAACCTCACCACCATCATCATCGTAAGCCGGGTAGACGTGAGGCTCGGCGGGTTCGGGGGACTCGGATTGATTTGGCGGAGCCATCATGAACATGACGCGACCAAATCTGAAATTTGACGCCAACTCCCGCTGAGAGCATCCCACGAAAACTGGACCGTTAAAATTGGCTCGTCGAAGAGCAACGTCAAACCCGAGTTCCGGCGCACTCGAGTCTTACGTTTCCCCGACTCAGCATCAGCACTAACATCAGCATCAGCAACATCATCATCATTACCATCGTCTTCCTCATCCTCATCCTCATCCTCATCACTGACAACATCATCATACTCATCATCATCCTCGTCATTATTATCACCACCACCATCATCATCATCACCATCATCATAACTAATATCATTATCATCGCCGTCATCATCACCACCATCACCATCACCATCATCATCATCATCATCATCATCATCATCATCAAACGTATCCTGATCATCCTCATCATCATCCTCATCCTCGTCCTAATCTCCACCCTCATCATCATGATCACCACCACCACCACCATCATCATCATCGTCACCATCATCGCCATCATCATCATCATCATCATCATCATCATCATCATCATCATCACCAGCATCATGATCATTATCATCACGATCACCATCACCACTACTACCTCCTCCACAATCATCACCATCGTCATACTCGTCAAACTCATCATCGCCAACACCGCCACCGTCACCATCATCATCATCATCATCATCATCATCATCATCATCATAATCATAATCATCATCATCATCATCATCATCATCATCATCATCATCATCATCATCATCATCATCATCATCATCATCATCATCATCATCATCATCATTATTTGCATTATCATCATCATCGTGATAGTCATTCTCATCATCCTTATCGTCGTCATCCTCATCCTCATTCTCATCCTCACCAGCAACATTACCTTTACCACCCTTGTCATCATCATCATCACCATCACAACCACAACAATCATCATCATCCTCATCCTCATCCTCATCATCACCAGCACCAACTCAATCAACATCATCATCATCATCATCATCACCATCATGATCTTGATCATCATCATGATCATCATCCCCACCATCCTCATAATAATCCTCATCCGCGTCCTCATTCTCATCATCATCACCACCACCACCATCAACATCACCACCACCATCACCACCACCACCATCATCATCGTCATCATCAGCATTGTCCTCATCATCGGCATCACCATCAAATCACCATCATCATCATGCTATTCATCCTCATCGTCATCCTCGTCATCCTCATCATTATCCTCGTCCTCGGCCTCATCCTCATCATCATGATCACAACCATCATCATCGCCACAATCAGCGTCACCGTCATCAACACCATCATCGTCGTCCTCATCATCACCGTTACCACCACCACCACCATCATCATCATGATCATAATCCTGATCATGTTCATCATCATCTTCAGCATCATCACCGTCATCATCATCATCATCATCATCATCATCATCATCATCATCATCATCCTCACAATCATCATCGTCGTCGGCATCATCACCATCCTAATCGAAATCATCCTCATGATCCTCATCATCCTTGTCCTCATTCGCATCCTCGTCCCACAACAATTACCATCCCCATCACCAGCATCATCAAAATCGTCATCATTATCACCATCATCATCATCATCATCATCATCATCATCATCACCATCATCGTGATCTGTTTTCCTGTGCCTCCCTCCCAGAACGAAGAACAAAACACGGCCGAAGTCCAGCAAAACAGCGTTTAGGTACAGCCCTGGTCTGCCTGCTTGCCTCCCCTGCCAAGCAATGCGGCAAGTTCGCAGGCCTGAGCCAGATCGACTCGCGAAACCGGGTCGGATCGGAAATGGATCGGATCGCCAATGAATCGTCCCGAATCCAATCGAACTCGGATCGCCGCGTCGGACGCCTGCTGCCCCCGGCCGATGCTGGTGAATTCAACCGAATCGACTCGAATCGGAATCACGGCCCCAACTGGCGTACCGAATCGCACCGGATCGGATCGCAGGCGGCTGACGAATCGCATCGACTCGCACCGAAACGCATCGTCCCTCCCCCGACGACCTGTCAGTCGGTCTCTGACCCCGCGTGGAGCTGTCGCCGGTGGCGGTCGCGGCCCGGCCACTGGAGCCGCTCTCCAAAAATGGAAGGCCCGCGCACGGGAGCACCGCCAGGCCGACCAGGGCGCGGGCCTGGCGCACGGGGCTCCGCAGAGCTCCCGCGGGAGCTGCAGATGGTCCCCGTTCCGGTGCAGGCCCGGGTCCCCAGAGCCCTCTGGGCCCTCGGGCGCTGCAGAGAGCTGCGGGCGCGGCCGTGCAGAGGCAGTGAGGGGACGTGTCTGCGCGCGTCTCGCCCATTCCTCCGCCTTCCTCGATTCCAGGAGGGCATCGGTCATCGTCGTGGTCGTGGTCGTGGTCGTGGTCCTCGTCGTCGGCGTCGTCGTCGTCGATCTCGTCGTCGCCGTCGTCGTCTTCGCCTCCGCCGCCGCCGCCCCCGCCGCCGTCGTCGGCGATCTCGTCGCCATCGTCGTCGTCGCCGTCGTCGCCGTCGGCGACCTCGTCGTCAGCGCGGCTGGCCCCCGAGAGTGGAACGCGCCGGCCCTGCCCGCGGAGCCATTCCTCGAGGGCCTTGCTCCCCTGCCCCCCCCACGCCCCCGCCCGCTCTCCGCCGCCGCCCTCCGCGCCGACCCGCGGGCCCGCGCCTCGGGCAGCGCTGCCCGAGGAGCCCCTCTGGCGAGCGGTGCGCCTGCCGAGGGCCGCGTGCACGCAGACCAGCCCCTGGCAGCGGCGCGGACGCACCAGGAACCGCCCAGCCGCTCAAAGGGGGGCCCGCGGCGCGCCATGCTTGGAGGTCTGGAAATTGGCACCAGCACCAACACAGGGGGTTGCCTCCACAGGGGGAAAAGGATCCTGGATTTCGGTGTTGGTGGCGATATTTCGGTCACCTTGGCAGCCAGAATATTACCGCCATCACCGACATCGGGCTCGTCTTCCCTCGGTGGAGGCACACCGCCGATCTTGGTGTTGGTGTCAACCTCTGGGCCTGCGACATGCGGGCAGCCGCTGGACGCGGAGGCCGTGCACGCAACGACCTGCACGCTGGGCAGCGGCGCCGAGCGCAGCCACGGCGGCCTCGACAACAGGGTGGCGCCGGCCTGGTCCGGCGCCGGCTGCGCCGAGGACCGCTCACGGAGCAGCGCGTGCCGAACCCGGGGCCGCGTGCGCCGGCGGCGGCCAGCGGACCCGCCCGACGCGGACCTGCTGGAGCGAGCGGTTCCAGACGTGGAATGCCACGAAAGGGCTAGCTGGCGGCCGCGGAGGTGGCAGCCGTGGCGGCGCGCCGCGCAGGCGCGGCCGCCCGCGGGGCGGAGAGACCCGCTGCACGGCAGGTATACCCGCTGGACAGTCCGAGGCCCTTTGCGGTGGAGAGACCCCAGGTCGCCTAGGTGGTGAGCACGGCAGCGCGTTAGCCAGCTCACCGGCATAGGAGAAGAACAAACAGCACGAATATAAACTTTCCAGCGCGGATCCAAGAAATCCGCGCAGAGCGCCAACCGCTTATGTTTACGTCGGTTTCTCTTCTTCGACGGCAGCCGGCTGACAGGCAGCCTTAGGGGGCCACATGCGAACCCTACCCCTACCCCCCAC